CCACTTCACAGCACAGCCAGGAGGGAGCATCACAGATGATGAAGAAGGACGCATATTAATTTATCAAACAACTAGCATAAAAAAAAAAGATATCGACTCGTTACTTTTCAGAAAGGTAAGCGTTTTTTTTTTGGGGGGGGGTGGGGGGGGGGGGGGATCTGCAGAGAGTCGCTGAACCGCAACCACCAACACCACTCAATGAGGTAGAATTTGACGCTGCAAAATGGGCGATTGCAGAGTTCCCCCCCCCCCCCCCCCCCCATAGATCTACGAGCCCGCACGTGGATCAGCACAAGCTCGGAAGAATGAAGAACCCGAGGGGGGGGGGGGAGGAGGGGGGTGCTTGAGCTGCTTACCAGCTCTCACTTCCAGAATGAAATGGAAGCATTTTGCCTTCTCAGGATATACCGAAAGTGGTCGGGGGCAACTACTAAGCCATTCCCAGAAAGAGATGTGCCTAAAGCATGTTGGTTCTCTTTCCGGTAAGGGGGGCCCGCTTGACCCCATTGAAAGCTTCTATAATGCCTTCCATGGGACTACTCCACCATCCATATCTACAAGAGCAAGCACAGGACAGAAATGGATCGTCCCGTCCCATTCAGCCTGTCCTCGCACATTCCGACACACAAAACGACAAGAACTGACAAAAAACAGGATCCCGTTATTTATCCGACCAAATTACTAACATGCCCCTCTTTTGAATCCTGTTATTTATCCGACCAAATTACCAACAAGCCCCTCTTTTGAATCCCCTGTAATCCTACCAAATTACCAACATATCCCTCTTATGTACACCAGTGGAGTAACACCAGTCCCAGCGCCCCGGGACAAATATTAAAATGCATATCCAGAGGTCAGTGGCCATATGGATTCTGACGGCCGCTCCCCAGCTATTAAGAAGACCACTACAATTTGTCACTGCTGTTTGGCAGTGCAATTTACCAGTAGTATTTGCCATTTCGTTAAAACGGACATTTTATAATGGTTTTATAATTTTTGAAGGAAGTTGAAACCTGCTTATTTGGCCCTAATAATGTCACTGTCTTTTCTTCTTTTTATTTTTATTTTTATTTTTTTTTCTGCTACTGAATGAGCCTTTTGTCGTCCACCTCCAGGTCTTGGATTTCCACCAGGAATAGGTATTCGGACTATTGACTTGCATGCGGCTCGCCTGGATCCTGTCGGGATGATAAGAGCGTCCCCCAAATCACAGTCTTGCAGTGATTGGTTGTTGCTCCAACCTATTTCGTGGGGTGATACTCCAGCTGGAAAGTGTGTTCCCCCTCCCCCCATGACCTCCTACTGAGTGAAAACTACTGAGCATATGGGCTCTCTCTCTCTCTCTCTCTCTCTCTCTCTCTCTCTCTCTCTCTCTCTCTCTCTCTCTCTCCACACACACACAATCCGAATGACGGTTATCGATCAGATATGATGGGTTGCAGTCGAAACAGCCGGACCCAATTTAATGTATCTGAACCTCAGCGAAGTCCAGATGGGATTTTAGGAGCTAAAATGGTGGGGCATTCTTCGGGCCAAATAACTACGTAGTACGTTTCAATTTCGTTCAAAAAAACATAAAATGTTTGTTTTAACGAAATGGCTGTTCAGTGCAATTTGCCAGAGAACAACACAACCACCGCAGCATCAAGTGCAGCATAGGCATCTGCTGCCTGTTGATTGTTGAGCAGCTTCTCACGTACAAACGGCAATAAAAACCCTCGGTAGAAAACACTTGTCAGTGTTTTCAGCACGCTCTTCGGCCTCTTGAGTGCAGCATAGGCATCTTCTGCCTGTTGATTTTTGAGCAGGTTCTTGCGTATAAACGGCAAGAAAAACATTCGGTAGAAAGTACTAGAAACACTTGTCAGTGTTTTCAGCAAGCTCTTCTGACTCTTGAGAGTCTCAAGAGTCAAGAGGCACTTGAGCTCTCATCACCACTCAGCCAAACAATAGCCAGTGTTGTCACTATACAGATTCTCATGCATCTCAGGCACAAACAGCAGGGGAGATAAAAACCTGAACAGCTCAAAGCTCTGCCGAAGGAGCAGGGTCACCACATTTGAGTGGTTCAGCAAGACGCACCCTTCACATCCATACGATTGCAAATGATGGCGCACATCTGCCAAGTTGCGAGCCCTGCATCCCCCCTTTAAAAAAAAAAACAAACAAACAAACAAAAAAAAAAAAACAGGGACCACAGAGCAAGAAAAAACATGTGTGAGCTACTAAGCATTGATCAACAGAAGACGTCCATATATATATAATATATAATATATATATCGTCACAAACAGAACTGCCCGGTAAAACCGTAGGCAGAGAGAGAGAAGAGGACAACAAACGAGGGGCTGTGACAAACTATATCGTATATATAATATATATTTAGAGCGTTTTGAAGTTTTGACCAAAAAAAAAAAAAAAAAAAAAAGACCCGGCCAAGATCCTCCTAGAGTTGCCTGGGCCCAGGCAGCTGCTGCGATCATCCAAGGGGCCAAGCCAGCAAAAAAACTTAAAAAAAGTAGTTTCCCCCGACCTCGACCCCTAGAAGGAAACTTGAGCTCACTCAGGTGAGGCTTGGGCTCTTTTTTTTTTTTTTTTTTTTTCCCTGAAAGGGACGAGGCCTTGAGATAGCAAGCATATCATTGAATTGACCGCCCCCAGGTAGTTCAGAATTATAATTCAATTATTTGATTCTGTTCCATCGCATAGCATCTGGACTCGAGGTCGGGGGTCTGTATTTAAAAGTTAAAATTTTAAAGTTTAAAGTTTAAACAGGTCATGGGTGTACGGACTGAGCTAGCAGTCCGGTTGGTAAATATGGACTCTTTTCACCACGCGAGGTTTGTCAGTCGGCGCGGGAGGGGGGGCCTGGGAAAGGGGGAGGCAAGGGGGATGAATCTGAGGGGAAGGTTGATTGAGAGATGGTACAAGCAACAGAAAGCAGGCCGGATACCAACAGGCCTAGCTCAGTTGGTACACACCCAGGAACTGTTGAAATACACCCCCAAGTTTTTTTTTTGGGGGGGGACACCCCCAAGTTCGAATCCAGATGTAACCACATGAACAGAACAAATTTGTTGTGAATTGCCTGAGGCCGGTCAGTTTAGTGCGCTCCTATCTCAAGTCCGTCGCCCTTTTTTTTTTTAAACAAATAAAAAAAGAAACCAGGCTTAGCAGGCTGAGCAGCCACAGACACCAAACAGATATAACAAACGGACAACAAACTCTTGATCGGAAGTTTGCGAAGAATAGACTGATCGATCAGTGAAGTTTCCAACGTATTCTCTCGCACTTCCAATGATTTCAACATGGACACAAATCAACATAAGTAGATTTCACAACAAAGTTGAAGGGAGAGGGAACTCCACAAAAGAGGGGGTGGG